GAATCTTTATTGTCCCCTAGCAAAGTCAGTGTGTTTGTGCTATCACTCATTAGAGCAGATTTGACGGTTATAACTTGTGGTGAAGCAATACTGACTGTAATTACCTGTGCTTGTACATGTTGCAGGTTCCTAAATACGTAATCCAATGACTGACAGGCTGTGCCATTACCTCCTAGACAGGCTGGTCTGTTCCTTCCATTGTATTGAACTCTTATACTCCTAACACTGTCATCAGATGATACTGGGAACAATAGGAGATTGAAAGTGATGTAAATCACTAGTAGATCTAACATGTCAAAGAGGACTCTTGATGGCAGACAACAATTCAAATACTCAGATTAAAGCTGATGCAATAATTTGCAATTATTGCATCAGCTTCAGCTTAAAGCTGGAATTGTATTCATTAACCAATTTCATGAATAACATTAAAAACATCATATACTACTACTGAATTGTTCTCTCTAGTATAATTCAATGCACCACACAAGACTTAATACTTTTTGCTGAATTATAACACTCCGAGTCAATTCAAAAAAGCATGGGCGTATGCTTTTGTGAAAAATAGTTTTGAAATCACTCCCAATTTTTATTGAATTTTTTGATACAAATTGATGTCTTTATGCTATGTAGAAAGTTTGAGCTAATTCTGAATTAAATTTTTAGCATTGAAAAATACCCTGTACTAGTACAAACTTATTTTAATCACAAAAACCTCTATCTAACAATAAATCCCAGTCCTTAAAAATTAAAAAATTAAAACTTTAATAGAATTCAAAAATAATGGTGTTCCAAAAGTTTCGTTAATTGGAAATACTAAAGGTGGTCTTATGTAATTGTATTATACTGCATTGTCAGGACTTTTATTAATGCAACAGTATTAATTTCATAATTATCCCACAGTCCCCCAGACATAACATCATCTCTCACTAGATTATCTAGATATTGTTTATACATCATTTGTTGACAGCTTAGTCTATAATTTGAGGTGGGACCACGTAATTTATGCTATATTGGTAGCAGGGGAACTACATGCACCCTTAAATACATAATTTAAGTATATAAGGACTATTAATGAAGCCCATGAGTTTGATTGTTACTTTAATGAAATTGATATGCTTTTCTAAAAATGAATGTAAGAGCAGTTGTAGAACAGTTCCTTTGATATTGAACAAAAGAACTAGTTTATGTAATTTAATGGTACAGGTTGTCTGATGCATTAAAGCAATCACACATTGTATAGCTGGCATCTTCATGAATTAAAAAACTTAAAGAAAAACTGATTTAACAAAATTAAATGCAAATAAAAGTCAATGCAAGCATGACTAAACTTAAATTCACATAGCAGTGTATGCATGTAACTAACTAAGCAGCATTAGTATTAGTTCAATTGTCTGACATTAAAAAAAGATCCCAAGGATAGCAATTGCAACAGCAATCATTGAGAGAGCAGCAAGGGGATAGGGTCCATTAGCAGGACTAGTACCCGCACAAGGGGAATCAACGGTAATACCACAGTTCTGAAGAGGAGGAAAATAGCCAGCGGCACAGCAACCCAACCTTTGAGAAAGAGTGGAAAGATGATTGTAACAGGAGCGAGGGGTTGTTTGATTGCAGACAATTGTAAAATTATTGCTTCGATATTGTTCGCAAGGACTAAATTCAACAACAGTATAATTCAAACGAACGATTCTAACAGGACAGTACTCTCCATCCTCTTGTCTACACACACCATTTTGAATGATATTTGATAGGTAACTTCTGAAAAAGGAATAGCTAGAGTTGTCGGGATAAGTACATTGAAGGTATTCTAAAATAGGATCAATGCAGGCAGAAATACAGTTTCGGGCATAAGCTTCATTAAGTGTAGCTAGTTCATGCACATTGGCAGGAGCATCTGGGACTGTAGTGGTCAGGACCGAGAAATTACAAGTTTGTGGTAGACTGTTATTCAACTGGGTAAAACAATCTTCGACATTTTGTTTAATGTCAGCAGCCCTTTTAACCAGTAATTGGTGCTGCAAGTATCCTGCACCACACTGAGATGAGGCTATGATGAAAAAGAGGAGTGTGTATAGTTTACTGAGCATAGCAGCAGCAGACATTATTGATTTCTTTCCAGTATTTGTATTGAGTTAAGATTTTGCCCTTTGAAATACAAATGCAACCCAATCTTTTTATAGATAAGGGTCAATGATCAATTCAGTATAGCCACACCTTTAGTCTTTTTTAATAGTTAACTAACTAATCGTTTGCAGAAGATCATGCCAGCTAGATGCAGACAGACTTGCTTGGATGCATCATGCCTAGTGATACTCCTACTGGCTTTTGGAGGATCCCGTGTATCACTAGGTCTCCTTCAAACTAACACTCAAAACGGATACTTATGCAACTTTTTTGTAACCCAGTCTGAGGCAAGGGATGATACTACCTTCACTTACAACATGCCAACTTGTAAACTGGCTCTGGCTTCTACTATGATTTCCACCATATGTCTTGCTACTCTGACTCTCACAGAAATAATAAGGATTGTATTCCAGTTGAAGACCAAATCATTGTAAGCATGTCAATAACAGTATTATTATTATTACAATTTGCTGCAGAGTATAGATTGCATGTACATGTACAATATTTGCATTCAATCGCTTATTCATCTTACATCTATAGCTTGTGTGCTAAAGTTCTTCAGATTGTACTCCTGACTGCTTCTATTGTGTGTCTTGCTGTCACAACAGCTGTCGTTTCTGCTGGCTGGGCAATGACATGCAACACATACGATGAATTGAGAGAAGACAGTCCCTCATTTCAGTTATTCAGCTGCACAGGGTATCAGTATCATAAGGCACCACCTCATGGTGGAGAGATTATTGCTGCTGCTGTAAGTTATTGAAAACTTATATATAATAATTTTTAAAATTACTTTCTAGATTTTTGCTGGTCTTACAATCCCGTTTTTAGCCGTAGCTATCATTTTATTTGCTGCTCGGAATCGTCTTGAGACTGTTAGACGTCATTACCAGTACACATTGCAACAGCAAGAACCAATGGATGTTATTGACACTGCTGATCCTACTGCTGAAGATCAATAAACTTCAATAAAAGTTGAATTGTCCATTTTGTTATTAACTATTGATTGGTATATTAACTGCAATTATTATTGTTCTGGTTCACTCTTATGTGTTTAGATCATTACAATGTAAACTTTAGTTTCATCTCATTATTTGATAGCATCCTGTACTGTTTGCAACTGCAAGGATTATGAATACAAGCTGCTGAGAGTATAATTGCAATAACAAGTTCTCAATGGGCTCAAATTTGATTAACTTGATAAAATTGGCAAAAAAATTTCATAGCCATTTTTAATGCAAGTTACTCCCACTCAACAAAACCTTTATACATTTTATAATTTTTATTATGTTTTATAAACTGCTAAACAGCTAGTAATCTCAAAAAAAACAAACAAATAAACAAGCAAATAATACCAAGAGTAGATCACCAATATGGTTGTCTGAAAAGTATTCATGCAAAAAGCGAAGACAACACACACAATATGTACATAAAAGTATTCATCATTATGCAGTACCTTGGGTCCTCGACTGCAGACGATGATAGCAGATCCTTTCTTCATTATTTCTAATGTGGTTGTGGTTTTCGACAATTAATGATAATAAATAGCTGAATGAATGATGAAATGGATGCTCTAATGTTATTGGTAATACCTGTATAGCAATAAAGGGGAAATGTTGTCACTGTTAACGCTATAATTATTATGAATAAAAATTAATAATTCTAATTAAATAACAAGGTGCTCACATGTAGATATCACTCTAATGTATTATATTACAACAAGGTGGCTAAATCAAGGGTAAAAATGACATCACATAATTGTTTCATGTATATAAAAAAATAACTTTGACAGCTCTTTTTACGTAGCTGCTATCATGCCTAATGCTGAAATAATCAAGCAGATCCTCTCAGTAGTTCCTCTTGCAGTACTTCTATTGTCATTGGGAGCTGCTGGTACTTCTCTTGGTCTCCTTCAGGCTAACATCAATAATGGGATGCGGTCAAGATGTAATTTTTTCATTTCTTATACTCAAGCAATGGACTCAAGTCTGGTAAATTATAATGAACCCACTTGTAAGTTGAGTATAGCAAGTGCTACCATTGCTACAATATGTCTGGCTCTGCTAACTGCCATTGAGCTAATCAGAGTTTCATTTCATATAAATGTCAAAACGTAAGTTCAGTGGTCTAGCTAGATTAACTATTAATAAGATTGATTCCATTTTAGGTCGATTGCTAAGATTATTCAAGTTGGAATCTATGTTGGTTCAATTTTGTTCCTATTCATTACCACTATAGTGGTTTCAGCTGGTTGGGGAAAAACCTGTGCTACATACAACAACCTATCAAGAACAGGCATTACTCCTAACTCATATTTTAAAATTAATTGCAATGGACCACAACATAGCTATGGTTATGGACCTTATCCACCAAATGGTGCAGATTTTATAGCAGCTGCTGTAAGCAATTAAAGCTTTTACATTGATTACATAAAAGCATTATTTAATGATAATTATAGGTATTTGCATGTGTTAGTGCTGTATTAGCTGCTGGTGCTCTTTGTTACTGCATTGTGAAGCAGATGAGGTCAAAAGATCATGATAATGAATTAACTCCAACCAACTGAACACTAATGTACCAATGACTATGATGATGAATTGATTGCTGATTCTTTTTGATTTTAAATTAAGCACAGATGTCATTATTGTAGTCATATGTATTAATTTATGGTAGTGTGTTCTGCAAATAAGCCACATTAGCATACCTAAATCAACTACCTTGCATCACTTATAAATTAAACACGTAACTATAATAGTTCTAAAAAAGAATAATAAAACCAGCTTTAGAAAAACAGATAATTGTCAATTAATGACTTGAAATGGTTATAGCCTAGTCTTGCTGCCCAGAGCCTACAGTCGATCGGGTGCCTAAATGACAATAGGCTCGGGAATGGTCTTGGCTGTGAGACTACTCAGACTAGGTATAGCCAGCACACTGAAATAATGAATGAAAATAAAATATAATTTTGTGTCAAGAAAAAAGTCTGATTTTGCAAGCATATTGATTAAAAAGTGTGCCTGTATAGCTATACAAAATAAAGAAGGTATAAACTACGTGTATATACATGTTGTTTTTACATGACAAGTCAAAAATATAACACAATAAAATCACTACTTGATGTATCAGCAACATGTTTGTATGCACTGCAATTATTAGATCTACATTACCATTGATTATTCTAGTAAAAAGAAGAATTTCATACTATCATTATGTATACTACAGAAAATACATAAATGTTTGGTCTATTTTATTGCTACTCTTCCTGTCTCAGGCTGGGAAAGATGTGGTTACACTCTTACAGCTAATGTTATCTATTCCATTGACTATAGAAGAAATGATCTGTACATGAGTATTTAGAGCTATAAAAACAAAGGTGAGGTCCATCAATTTATGATAACTTGCAACACCCCAAAGCCAGTCTATAGCCACTGCATCTATAAACACAAGTGTGACTCTTTTATCATGTGCCTATCCCCATCTTTGTGTGATAGTCAGTGATACTGTCATGCCTAGTAGACAGAAACTTTCAATAGCTTCTTTTGTAATACTCTTTGTGTCACTGGGAGCTGCTGCTACATCACTTGGTCTCATTCAGGGCACAAACTGTCCTCAATGGTCGTGTGATGATGAATATGAAAACATTTCCATTTGGCAACTAAGTATAGCAAGTTCTATCATTGCTACAATATGTCTTGGTCTGTTAACTGTCATTGAGCTAATCAGTGTTTTATATCAGACAAATGTTAAAACGTAAGTTCAATGATTGCTTAATCATTATACAGTTTGTTGATTTTTCAGGTTGTGTGCTAAGATCCTTTATAGTGGATTATTTTCTGTTTCTATTTTCTTCCTAATCATTGCCACAGCATCAGCTTCATACAATGTTGGTTATTATGGCTATGGCTATAACTATGATTATGGTGTGGAACTCATAGCAGCTGCTGTAAGTTACTAGAAGAGAAAATTTTTTATAATTACCAGCTATACGGCAATTTTGGAGGGACCTGGGTTGATCAATTTAGCACCCTTTCACCAAAATAAAAAACTGCCCCTTTCAACATAATCAATGGGATATATATGTGGCCACAGACTTTGTCATTGTAAAACCAGCCTATAATAGAATCTCCCAATCAAAATTTGGCAAATTTGCATGACATTTTGATAGTCAAACATTCATTGATTAAGTTTTTGACTTGTTTTTAAAAAGTGCTTTCATGACATAGTCTACAATACAGCCCACTTTTTTATACAAAGTGAGCTAAACAAAATTCTTCAAGGATTGGCAACTATTATATTTGGCTTTTGGAGCAAAATTAAAAAAATTCTTTAAAAAATCACATAACATAATAAAAATGTATCTATTATGCATCAGAAAAAATTATAAAAATTGAGAAGCATTTTTAAGTTGGCAAAATTTGGCCAAAGTTTCTGTACTGTACAAGGATGTTGACTCATATTTAAAATAATTTTAAAAATTCATAAAAAATCCAAAACTGATCGGAATTGGTTCAAACTTGTAACACAACACAAAAACATTTATATGTATCAGAAAACATTATAAAATAGAGAATTTTCTTGTAGTCATTTTTGGCAAAAATTTGGCCAAAAATCCTGCACTATAGTAAAACCTGATTTTTGAGTAACTTTAAAAATTCATACGAATCCAGTTTTATTAGAATCAGCTTAAAACATGTATATGCATCTGAAAAATTTATAAAAATAAAAATTCTCTTCTAGCAATTTTAAAAAAATACCTGCATGAGTGCCATGACAAAATCTTGTGGGAAACCCTGCTTATATGTGTGAAACTATAAAGCTTATGAATTTGAAAATTATAAAAGCGACTGCTAACTATAAATCTGAGACATAATGGTTGCTTTTTTATAGGTATGTGCTAGTGTTGGAGCTTTGCTAACTATTATAGCTTTTTGTATCTTTAATGTGAAGCAGACGAAGTCAAGCGATGAATATCAAAATATTATTCAAAGGACTGAACACTAACTATAACTGATAGTCATTGAGTGCATGCTATCATTACTTAGTAGTTGTATGGTAGCACAAAAGAATAAATTAACTCTCTAGAGAGCACACTGGTATCAATACATGTGATGTGAGTTTTAAAATGTTATATCTAGCTGCTACTGTAACTTTGTGTACAACTGTATTCAGCAACAACACAAATACACATGACAGACAGTACTATAAACCACCCAGTACTAGCTTATAGTATACACTCATAGACACAATGATAGCCTACATCATGTACATGTACATATAATATCTAAAATTAGTGAATACCGGGTAACTCACATTTTGGCTTTTAGTGATGAATTGATTATACATAGCTGCTCATTTTCTCCAGGCCTTAAATAAGTCCCCTGTGCCCTATTTGAAAATAAATTTGTTTAATTAAATTAACTGAGCAGTCAATACAGTAATTGTTGGCACTTGTATGATTTCAATTTAATTTCAATTTTTCTGTACTTATAATAAGAAAGTTTTTTTTGGTATGATAACTTGAGCTACCAACTTCACGTGGCTGGATAGAAAGCTGCATTTCTTGTACAAAGCTGCCCTAACTCACATCAGTAATTTAAACATACATAGTGTACATGATGCTATGGTATGCATCACTCTGTTTTTGAACTGTTCAAATAATTGTACATGATAATGACAACTTGTATGTGCATTTATGTGTACATGTACATGCGTGCTGACAAGAGTGCTATACATGTATAAGGAGTGAAGGAGGAAGGGGGAAAGGGAGAGAGAGAGAGAACATTATATGGTATGTCTCTAGTGTATTACAATATACCGTACAACTGGAAATATTTGGAGGATTAAATTTTGTAAATTTGTGGATGCACCCAAAAACAGAAATAATTGTTAAAATTTGTTTTCATTTGTATCATGACAGCAACAGCAGTAGTAGTAGTAGTAGTAGTAGCAAGAGTACATAACTAATCTATTCTCGGTAGTAGCAAGAGTACTTTTGGTAGTAGTAGTAGTAGCGGTAATTCATTATTAATTAGGTGAACATCAGTACAAGCATAAGGGTAACAATACTCCTCTCACTAATGTACTGTTCAGTTTTCTAACTTCTATCAAGAGAGCTGGTTCATGCATTAAGCTTTATGGGAATTACCTACATTTTATGTGCTAGCATACTGTAATATACATGTATTGTTTTGTCATAAATCCACTTCCTATTTCTCCAATATTTACACGAGTACAAACACACACACACACACCAACAGTAATGAAGAGTATATACATGCATTGGTCTCTAGTTATCAAAATAAATTAATGCATCACTATTGCTGTATGCATGTGTGGGTGAATGTGCTCATGTAAATATTCGCTCGATGAACTAGTGGATCTATGACAAAACAATATGTGTATATTACAGTATGCTAGCACATAAAATGTAGGTAATTCCCATAAAACCTAATATATGAATTAGCTGTCTTGATAGTAATTACAAAATAAACTGTATATATACTCACTGTGATTATACACAATGGTTCATGAGCCAAAAAAAACAAACAGTGTATGAACACACACATAAACAGATTTCATAAATGAATAAAATAAACAAATCTGTAAGAAACAACAACAGAGAATGTTTATCTTAGTATATGTTCCCTATTGTCAGGCTGGGCTTGTCCTAGACACTAACCACACACATAAATATAAGGGAATACTTTGAGTATAGATATTAGAGTGCTTTGAGCATATGTATACTAGTAGTACTAGAGAGTGATTCCTAAGCCTAGATCAGAGTCCGTGTATCATGCCTACTGCAGCCTTAGTCAAGCAGGTCCTTTCACTAGCTACTTTTGTGATACTTCTAGTGTCACTGGTAGCTGCTGGTACTTCTCTTGGTCTCCTTCAGGCTAACATTTCTACTGAATTTGTATACTGGAAAGCATGTTTCCTCTTTATTAATTATTCTCAAGCTATTTCAATCCTTGAGTCAGACTACCCAGATTTCAACTTTAACGTGCCCACTTGTAAGTTGAGTATAGCAAGTGCTACCATTGCTACAGTATGCCTGGCTCTGCTAACTGCCTTTCAGCTATGCAGTGTTTCATTTCAAATAAATGTCAAAACGTAAGTTAAATCAGTAGTAGATCTAGTTTATACACACACATGCACACATATATACATTTAATTCCATTTTAGGTTGATTGCTAACATTATTCAAATTGGATTCTTTGCTGGCTCTATTTTGTTCCTATTCATTTCCATGGTTGTGGTTTCAGCTGGTTGGAGAAAGACTTGTGATACATTCAAGAATATAACACAACAAACACAATATCATGAGTTTGTCTTTAAATGCAATGGACAACAGCCAAGTTATGGTTTACCATATCTACCAAATGGTGGAGAATTCATAGGAGCTGCTGTAAGTCAATAAATAGACAAGGTATTACAATAATATCCTCCTGATAGGTATGTGCTGCTCTTGGCATTCTGTTCACTATTGTAGCTCTTGTTCTCTTTATTGTAAAGCAGATCAGGTCAAAAGATGATTATAAACATCTTGTTCAAATGAGCGAAGAACAAATGAACTAGCTATAATGTACATTACATTATAGATGTTGTAGTTTTGTCAATTGATAATGTGTAGCATGTTATCATTCATTATAGTTCAAAAATACTATGAGCATGTTTAGCTAATTGCATGTGATGTCTGCAGTGTTGAAACATAATTTTTATTGTACTTATATGTACAAATTGTATTCAGCAACAAAAAAGTTGAAAGTACCATTTCAATAAACCACCACTTGTTAAAAAATTGCATGTCTTTTAATTAGGGGAACAAAGTATTGCAAATTTAACTCTCAGTAGATTTTTAAGGTATGTACTAAGTCTATAGTAATTGCGACCAGCAAATAATTATTGTATGAGTAAAATTGCAATTTTATTCCCATAGTAAAACTATTGCCAAGCGGTAGAGCTTAGCATAAATATTAGAGTACAGGAAATATATATACATTGTATCAAGAGTGGATAATTATCCACTCTTGATTGTATATATATTTCCTGTACTCTAATATCTATGAGCTTAGTTAGTAGTCTGGCCCCGCCTCTTTGTTGTGCAAAGAGGCAGGGCCAGACTGAGACTCGTCTAGGTTACTAAGGTTAGTAGGGTTGAGTTGGTCAAATGGCTGTCCAAAACTTGATTGTGACTAGTGTTGTACTATACTTACACAATCACAATCTTGTCCTGTACTCTGTATTGCTCTGTTTTTTTATTGTACATGTGCATACAATCGTGGAATTTAAAAAAATGATGGAAACTAGAGACAAAAATTTTTCAAACAAATAAAATGAAGTAGTCAAGGGTTGAACATACAAAAGAATGGAAACAAGACTCAGTAAGGTTACTCAATTTACATAATGCAGTGCCAGTACTACTAACATCTTAACCCTACACTGCAGCTTTCTGTGCCAAATATTATAAAAGCAATCTTGTAAATAAAAAACTGCAATGTAGGGTTAAGATGTTGGTAGTAGTGACATTGTAACCATACTGTAATATACGTGTATCGTTTTGTCATAGATCCACTTCATATTTTTCCAATATTTACACGAGTACAAACACACACACAGCAATAGTGATGAAGAGTATATACATGTATTGGTCTCTAGTTGTCAAAAGAAATTAATGCATCTTGCAACTATTGCTGTATGTGTGTGAATGTGTGTGCTTGACTTATGTAAATATTAGAAAAATAGTAAGTGGATCTATGCCAAAACAACACATGTATATTACAGTATGTTAGCACATAAAATGTAGGTAATTCCCATAAAGCCTAATATATGAATTAGCTCTCTTGATAGTAATTACAAAATAAACTGTATATATACTCACTGTGATTATACACAATGGTTCATCAGCCAAAAAAACATTTGGTATAAGAACACACACATAAACAGATATCATAAATGAATAAAATAAACAAATCTGTAAGTACAACAACAGAGAATGTTTATCTTAGTATATGTTCCCTATTGTCAGGCTGAGCTTGTCCTAGACACTACCCACGCACATAAATATTTCTTTAACCATATAAGGGAATAACTTTGAGTATAGATATTAGAGTGCTTTGAGCATATTGTACTAGTAGTACTAGAGAGTGATTCCTAGGCCTAGATCAGAGTCTGTGTATCATGCCTACTGCAGCTTTAGTCAAACAAGTCCTTTCACTAGCTACTTTTGTGATACTTCTATTGTCACTGGTAGCTGCTGGTACTTCTCTTGGTCTCCTTAAGGCAAATGTTTCTATTGAATTTCTATATGGGCAAGCATGTTTTTCTTTATTAATTATTCTCAAGCTATTTCTCTCATTGAGTCAGACTACCCAGATTTCAACTTTAATGTGCCCACTTGTAAGTTGAGTTTAGCAAGTGCTACCATTGCTACAATATGTCTGGCTCTGCTAACTGCCTTTCAGCTAATCAGTGTTTCATTTCAAATAAATGTCAAAACGTAAGCTAAGTCAGTGGTAGTTTATATACATATCTATATATATTTAATTCCATTTTAGGTTGATTGCTAACATTATTCAAGTTGGATTCTTTGTTGGTTCTATTTTGTTCCTATTCATTTCCATGGTTGTGGTTTCAGCTGGTTGGAGAAAGACTTGTGATACATTCAAAAATATAACACAACAAACACAGTATCATGAGTTTGTCTTTAAATGCCATGGAGAACAACCAAATTATGGTTTACCATATCGACCAAATGGTGGAGAATTCATAGGAGCTGCTGTAAGTCAATATTCTGCCATGACATTTGAAAAACAATTACCACCTGCAACAATTACCACCTGCTGATAATAAGACCACAGTTGACATACATACATACATACAACATATCCAACAGGCTAGGCCAGTAAAGAATCAAGCAAGCTTGACAAATAGACTAATAATAGAGTGTAAGCATAGAGCGCCAACTTTGCCAAGTTTCTAAGTGTTCCCAGGAGGTTTCTAAGTGTTGGTGGGAGGTATCTAATAGATTTAGAAACCTGGTATTCTGCATTTTGATTGGTCACGGGTCAATTGAAATTTGGCATGGTAGAAGTTCAGTGGTTATGCCATAAACATTAGAGACTACGTTATACACTTTGGTATTGGTTTCTATGGTATCTATTAACCTAGCACTTGGTTAATAAATACCATAAAAACCTCTATCTCGGTGTATAACCTATACATATTCTCTTGATAGGTATGTGCTGGTGTTGGTATTCTGTTCACTATTGTAGCTCTTGGTCTCTTTATTGTGAAGCAGATGAAGTCAAAAGATGATTATAAACCTCTATATGTCCAAAATGAGTGAACTTCAACTAACTGAACTAGCTATGCACATTGCATTGTTGATGTTATAGTTTTAGTGTATAGCATGTAGTTTCTAAAGTATAGTTATCATTGTCTCTTAAGACTCTTATGCTGCGTTTACACTACAGAAGTGGGCCAAACCGTGCTGAACCAGGCTGAGCTGGACCTGCTGTACTAACCATGCTGGCCTGGTTTGGCCCAGCTCACTTCAGCTCAGTTTGGTTACTGTTTACACTATCAAATGAAACTGTGCTGGCCCACTTTAAACAGGGCTGACTCAGTTAAAGAAGCTAGTGTAAACACAGAATTATGTATCAGCAAAAACCAGACAACTTAGAGTAAACCAGTAAAACCACCATGTACAAACATAATAAAATTTACTTGGAATTAACATACAGTTAAATGACTAATACTATGTTTACACTATGGAACTGGGCCAAACCGTACTGGGCCAGACTGAGCTGGCCCTGCTGTACTAACCATGCTGGCCTGGTTTGTCCCAGCTCACTTTAGCTCAGTTTGGTTACTGTTTACACTATCAAATGAAACTGTGCTGGCCCACTTTAAACAGGGCTGGCTCAGTTAAAGAAGCTAGTGTAAACACAGTATAATACTATGTTTACACTATGGAACTGGGCCAAACCGTACTGGGCCAGACTGAGCTGGACCTGCTGTACTAACCATGCTGGCCTGGTTTGGCCCAGCTCACTTCAGCTCAGTTTGGTTACTGTTTACACTATCAAATGAAACTGTGCTGGCCCACTTTAAACAGGGCTGGCTCAGTTAAAGAAGCTAGTGTAAACACAGTATTATGTATCAGCAAAAACCAGACAACTTAGAGTAAACCAGTAAAACCACCATGTACAAACATAATAAAATTTACTTGGAATTAACATACAGTTAAATGACTAATACTATGTTTACACTATGGAACTGGGCCAAACCGTACTGGGCCAGACTGAGCTGGCCCTGCTGTACTTACCATGCTGGCCTGGTTTGGCCCAGCTCACTTCAGCTCAGTTTGGTTACTATTTACACTCTCAAATGAAACTGTGCTAGCCCACTTTAAACAGGGCTGACTCAGTTAAAGAAGCTAGTGTAAACATAGTATAAATATGCATGTGAATGGACATGCACATTACATTACAATATACAATCCAATTTATGAATTTTTCCCTCTTTGTGGTGGTATATTCTTACACCACACACTACACTAACTACCGTATGGCGGGAAATTCTGGAGGGACTAAAAATTTGGCAAATTGCTAAAATTTGGTGATTGGCAGATTTTAATTTGGCGAATTTGTGGCCATGTGCCATTGCCCATTGAGTATGCGCATAATGACTCAAAATGGCGGAATTTATTTTGGCAAATGGCTATTGAAATGCCAAATTTGCCAAATTTAACTCCCTCCAAAATTTCACGCTATACGGTATGCTATTGTATTCAATCATTGCTACTATTCATCATGATTATTAAGGCAGATTTACAATATTATGCTGGTCCTGATGTTACGTTGATGCTGGAATAGAATCTGGTTCTATTCCAGCAGAAAGCATGCGTCAAAAAGTCAAATCGCCCACATTTTTGATGAAAAATTGATGGTACGCTGGCCTAATGTCATATTGTAAATTCGCCTTTAGTACAACTAGGACTCTTGATAATTATATCTCATTAGCAGTATAGTAGTACTAGTAAATCATTCTTAATTATGTGTGTGAGTAGAAGTGTATAAACTTGCTCTCACCTAATGTACTGTCCTGTATATCTATGAAGACAGCTAGTTTATACATAAGGCTTCATGGGAACCACCTAAGCTCCATGGGCTAACATTTATGGCTTTGGTATCCTGTTTTTCCAATATCTACCCTGCACCCATTAAAAGTACCTATCACTCACTCGGTTATCTAGTGAAATAAATAAGAAGTGGTAAGAGATACATGTAACAAACACACACCCAACACATAAATGAAGAGTATACAATGCATTTTTCTAGTTGTGAAATGAAATTAGTGCACACATACATTTTTGATTATTAATTTTAAATAATAATAATAACTGTGACTAGATCTATACACCAATAAAATATTAAATCATCAGCCAAGATAGACACAGATATTATAAATGATGGATACATTCAGGGGCAGATCTAGGATTTTGCAAATGGAAGGGTCGAGAGAAAAAATGGCGCGCGAAGCGCGCCGAAATTTTGGCCACGCCCCTTTGCGGCACTATTTTGTGGTTAAAATCACGTGAAAATCAACTTTTCTACCATTTTTGGAGCTCATTCTTTGTTAATTATATTCATTAACCACAATAATGTTGCTATATAAACTAGGTGGTTAGCACTTTCACCACTGTTGCAACAATAAAAACATTAAAAATTTTTTGAGTTAGAATGCTTTGGGGGGGGGGGGTTGCAACCCCACAAACCCCCCCCTAGATCCGCCCCTGACATTACTTTATACACTATAAAGCAAACAAATCTAAGGGAATGTTGGTATTGGTGAATTCTCTATGGTCAGGATGCATGGGCTTGTCTTAGATACAGCCTACAGTCCTCACACACAGGTGTCATTCTTCATTCATATAAAGGGATTATAACTTTGAACATAATATTACAGTGCTTTGAGCATACTATAGAGAGTGATTCTTAGCTGACTGATAGAGTCTGTGTATCATGCCTACTGCAGCTTTAGTCAAGCAGGTCCTTTCACTAGCTACTTTTGTGACACTTCTATTGTCACTGGTAGTTGCTGGTACTTCTCTTGGTCTCCTTCAGGCTAACCTTCCTACTCAATCTGCATATGGGGAAGCATGTTTTCTTTTTATTAATTATCCTCAAGCTGTTTCAATCATTCAGTCAGCCTTTGTGAACCCAATACTAGTAGATTTCAACTTTAATTCATCCACTTGTAAGTTGAGTATAGCAAGTGCTTTCATTGCTACAATATGCCTGGCTCTGCTAACTGCCTTTCAGCTATGCAGTGTTTCATTTCAAATAAATGTCAAAACGTAAGTTAATTTAGTATTAGTCTATAGGTATTTTTATAATATTTAATTCAATTTTAGGTTGATTGCTAACATTATTCAAGTTGGATTCTTTGTTGGTTCTATTTTGTTCCTATTCATTTCCATGGTTGTGGTTTCAGCTGGTTGGAGAAAGACTTGTGATACATTCAAAATTATAACACAACAACCACAGTATCATGACGTGGTCTTTAAATGCAATGGAGAACAGCCAAATTATGGTTTATCATATCGACCAAATGGTGGAGAATTTATAGGAGCTGCTGTAAGTCAGTAATATACAATGAAGCTATTACTAATAATATTCTCCTGATAGGTATGTGCTGCTCTTGGTATTCTGTTCACTATTGTAGCTCTTGTTCTCTTTATTGTGAAGCAGATCAAGTCAAAAGATGATTATAAACATGTTGTTAAAATGAATGAAGAACAACTCAACTAGCTATAATGTACATTGCATTATAGATGTTGTAGTTTTTTTGATTAATAATTTGTAGCATGTTATCATTTATTATAGTTCAAAAATACTAAGAGCATGTTTAGCTAACTGCGTGTGATGTCTGCAGCATTGAGACATAATTCTTATTGTACTTTTACGTACAAATTTTATTCAGCAACAAAAAAGTGAAAGCACCATTTCAATAAACCAGTAAAACCACAAAAATTGCATGTAGCTTTTAATTATTGGTACAAAATATTGCAATTTCAACTCTCAGTAGTTTTTGAAGGCACATACTAAGTCTAATAATTGCAATGCACAAGTGATTATTGTAGGATTAAAAAATTCCCATAGTAAAATTATAGCAATTATATAGTGCTCATAAACTATAGAAAGGTATAGCTAATACATATTGGTACATGACAATTAGTGAAAACCACTCACTTGTTAATCGAGTAATGAAACCCTTAAGAGTGATTATACGATCAATAGCTCACTGTCCTTCAGTCAGTATCTTGGAGAATCCAGTGTGTATACCAGCTATATTGATTATCCTATTTGAAAGATAATTAATTATTATTTATCATAGTATCAGTTAATTGAAGCAAACATACAAACAAGCAAAGACTGCTCAAATAGTTGCCTCATCAAAAATGGTTGTGCATGATTTTTATTCCTTCAGCAAACAAATTCAAAAAGGTCTATATAGCGCATGTATACATGTATAGCATATGAGGCAATAGTATTAATATTCCTTTGATCTCTCATCTCTTATGTACATGTATGTACCATCATGTACAATGTTCTATTGTATCATTATGTATGGTCTTTTATTGAGAAGCCATATTACCAGTAAGGCTGGCTATTTCTCTTTAGGAAACTGCCTACATGCATCCTTTCAAGTACAATTTAAAAGGAAGAGTATGGGCCTACTGTAATAACTCTCACTTGGCAGCCTTACAAAACAATTACCAGTATCCATACACTTCCTGCTTTCTAATAATTGTGTACCAGTCATATAAAAAATATGATACAAATGAGCCAATATTCACTAC